AAAATGTCCATACATGTTGTAGAATGCTAAAGTGTCCTGATCATCACCAATCCTTTCTGTTGGACACTAACTGTCCAACAAGACCCTCCTGCATCGACAAGGAAAAACTCTTAAAAAACCCAGTGGGAAAAAGTGAGAAACCTTGGGGAGAACTAGGGAAACCCACAGGGAGGGAGACCCATTTGAGAAAGGGATCCGCTCCTCCGGACGGACAGGCTAATGATCTAGGACCTAAGCTAGCTACAGAACGTGGACCAGTGGCCGCTGAACGTGGACAGGTCTGGTGCAGGACCGAAGCACTCCCAGGCGGGTCAGGCGGGGCAGTCCGCAAGTGTAGATGGAGGAGGCCAGGCTCAGAGATCCCGTCATCGTACCATGAAACAGACAATGGGACAACGGGTGAATAGCAATGAACAAACTACAGTCAGAATCCTAAAAGTGCTAAACAGATAAAGTAGATAAAGTAGGAAGGAGGAGAGGATAGTGCTCAAGTTACCATACTTCTCCCAGCAAACTGACTCCCTATGCAGCTTGACTGACACTCTGAGGAGTTTAGCCTTCCCAGAGTCTTACCTTCCTAACCATATGCTAAACTAAGGAGGACAGTTTTAAACCTAGCCTTGAATAAAGAGATTCATGGATTGCACACCAAGTGTGCAAACCGATCCAAGCAAACCTAATTATATATTATATATCATATACATCACATATACCATACATACCATATATATCATATATATTACACAACATAACATACAGCATAATATATAACATAATATACAACATAACACAATACATTATTGTATAATATATAACATAATACAGCATATATATATATATATATATATATATATTATATACACCATATATTATACATTACCTAATTATATGCTAAATTAAAGTAAAGTGCTTTAAGCCTGGCCTTGAACGTGGAGACCGTATCTGCTTCCTTAACATAAATGGGAAGCTGATTCCACAGTAAAGGAGCTTGGTAGCTAAATGCTCTGCCACCAACAGTGATTTTTGAGACCTTAGGGACCACCAGACGTCTGGCGTTTTGTGAGCGCAACACTCGACTTGGTTGATACGACACTAACGTGTCTTGGAGATAAGAAGGAGCCAAGCCATTTATGGCTTTATATGTTAAGAGAAGGATTTTAAACTTTATTCTGTACTCCACAGGGAGCCAGTGGAGTGATTTCAACACCGGAGTTATGTGCTCCCTCCTTTTGGTACCTGTTAAGATCCTAGCTGCTGTATTCTGAACGAGCTGGAAGCTCTTCAAAGAGGCTTTAGGGCACGCTGCCAGTAAAGCGTTACAGTAGTCAAGTCTTGAGGTGACAAACGCGTGAATGAGTTTTTCCGCGTCACTTTTAGGAAGGAAATTCCTAATTTTAGCGATGTTCCATAAGTGGAAGTACGCCGTTTTAGTTGCTTGGCTTATATAAGCCTTGAAGGAGAGTTCTTGGTCAAAAATGACTCCAAGATTCCACAGTGTTACTAGGTATAATACTGACATTATCGAGAGTAATTATCTGGTTAGTGAGGGAGTCACGCAGGCGCTTCGGACCGAGTAGGATCACTTCTGTCTTCTCCGGGTTGAGAAGTAGGAAGTTAAGAGTCATCCACATTTTAAGGTCCTTTATGCAGGCACTGAGCTTTTCTAGCTGATCTGTCTGATTTGGCGTCATCGACAGATAAAGCTGTGTGTCATCTGCGTAGCAGTGGAAATTAATTCCATGCTTTTTAATAATGTTTCCTAATGGCAGCATGTAGAGAGTAAAAAGAATCGGTCAGAGTACCGAACCCTGCGGCACACCGAATTCTACTCCAGAATAAGGTGACGAGTTCTGATTTACGTTGACGAAGTGATACCGATCTGATAAATAGGATTTAAACCAGCCAAGGGCTGTTCCTCTAAGACCTATATCACATTATAGCCTCTGCAGTAGAATGCTGTGGTCTATTGTGTCAAATGCAGCACTAAGGTCCATTTATTTAGGGAAAAAAAAAAAAACTCAATTTATATCGTTATCGACCGATATGAATGACTTATATCGTGATATAGTTTTCAGCCATGTCGCCCAGCCCTACGATAAACGATAATATAGCGATCAATTTATTGTCATGGAAAATGTGTTATAGTGAAAGGCCTAGCCATGGATATATTTGAATACAAGTTCTATGTTCAATGAAGGGCCTGCATTTGGAAAAAATAAGTCCGGGCCTTTTTTTTTGATGAAAAAACTCTGGTCCTGACCAAGCAGAGGATCAACTTCTGGAGATGGGTTTCCGGGTGCTGTACTACGGCGACCACTGCTCCTGAAGCCAGGCATCAGGATGGGTCAAATGCGGAGGAAAAATTTCCCTACGGGGACAAAGTGCACATTTACAGTTACATGTTATTGTCAGAGTAAAAATAAATTGGGATGCCATACCATAAGTCTCTAACTTTATTTACTTTCAGGCTGAACAAAAAAATAAAGAATAAAACATGTTTAACAATATCTTCAATCTTTTATTAGATTACAGAGCAGAGTAAGGTTGGTGAAAACGGTATTATATTCTGCAGAAATGTCTACTTCCATTATGCTTTGGTATCTGGTACCATATCCTAGCAACCTACCCCCAACAAACCAGTGTTTTGGGAAATTCCTCGATAACCGTGGCTTCCAGCTGCACTCTGGCCAATCACTGGCAGTTGGAAGACTTCAGTACCAGCTCGTCCTGGTTAGAACCAGGGCTAAGCAGGGACTATCGAAATAGTCAAGTAGGGCTGGTGTGAAGGGCTATACTAAATGAGACCAGGGTCATGGGTGGTCCTCTGACAGGTCCCCAATGTTGGATGATGGATATAGCTGAGAATGAAGACAACACTTTTTTCTCTGCTGTTTTTTCCTGTTGTTCCTTGTAATTACGTCAATTATGAAAATGCAGAGTGTCACGAGTGTATAACATACGGCCAAGAAGTACTGGCACTACATGGCGCTGTGGCAAGAGTTCTGGTGTGTAGTATCTGGGGCACACTGGGGGCAGTCTTTCCAATGTGGTTTTACTTCAAATGGTAAATACATTTTGAGGTGGTACACAAGGCAAAAATGTTTGGCAACCTCGTCTTGGCCCATTGCGGGGCCGCGGGGGGAGCAGTCTAAGCAGAGATTCCCAGACTTCCCTATCCACACACATCTAAAGGCTCTTCTGGGGGGAGAGGCCAACTTGGAGACATGGGGTGAGGAGCTCAGCTGCACGGACCATCTCCAACGGAGAGTGGCTGGGCGTTTCCTTAGAGATAGGTGAGGGAGGGAAGAAAGATTAACCGGTAAATCGAGTCCCATTTGGCTCAGCTCTCTTTACCACAACGATCCGACCACATCATTGCGCACGCTGCACTGATCCGCCTGTCGATCGCATGCTCCATCCTTCCCTCACTTGTGAACAAAACCACTTGAATTCCACTTGAAGAAACACGGGTGGAGAGGTCATGACTTAATGTTTTAATTTTCATTCACTCAAAGTTGTTCGAAAGTTGCTGACTAGATAACAGGTGCACAAATCAATTAGCGTATGGGATGACATTATTTTAATTGATTTGGTATATTTACTATTTAAATTAACTTAAAACCATGTGAAACTTAACACAGGTGATTGCAACACTTAATTGACGGACACGTGTTCTATGGGGCGCCCGCTGTGCCTTGAAAGCCACCTGGTTTTACTTGAGAATGTCAGATACTTTTGAGTGAAACTGTTTGAAGACTAGCATTGGTTAGATCTGCTGATGCTTGAGGCCCCGTGTCATGGGTTTAACTCTTCTCCTTCAGCAAATCTTACTAGTTGTACTTATGCCGAGGGGAAAACGTTATTTATGTACATATTAGTATAGTATCCAATGGTCAGAAATATGCATACTTAAATAGAATTTATTTATTTTTTTTTTTGTCTACTTCCTAACAAGATTAATATTTCCTCTAGGAACTTGTTACTTACATACTTACATTATTAGTGAGTACTTGTTTAGATAAAACTGATCGATGGCAAACTATCCACTGCAGCTCTAACACTTAGCTCTAATGTGTTTTGTGATTTTGTGAAAACTTGTGTTAGATTTGCCTCTCCCTGTGGCTCCTCACACGCTGTGATTACTGAACTGATGTCAGAAACCCTTGAAACCTGAAGCATCTCCTCTGCTTTTATCACCTACTTTTCAACCTGAAACTGACCAGTTTATGCAATTGCCCTGTTCAATGAAATTATACGTTAACCTTGAAAAATATTTTAATTGAAATATATGATTGTACTGGTGGATCTATCCTCCCACTCAGACTAGGATTAGTATAAGACTATATATAGTTTTTTTTTTTTTTTTTTATTGAATATTTTAGAAAAAGACAACCTGACCATACCATACATTTCTATTGTAACAAATAATAATGTTTTAGATGGCTGGCACATCTAGTCTTTAGTTTCCAAGATTAGTAGATTTTGGTTGGCTAATGAGATCACATGACTGTTTGTCTGAATGAGCTTATAGGGTAAGTGTCTGCTATATTAATGCTGTCCGTTGTTGGTGCGTACAGCAGATGGTGTCTCATGGCACATACACAAAAAGGATGTAAGTTGGATTTTACATGTTTTTGGATGGTAGGCGCAAAGTCATTTTAATTTATTCAATCACCTTTTACATGGGATGCTTATTCGTTGTGCTTTATTATGTTGTTTGATAGCAGTGACCAGAAACTCAGGCTTGTAAAGGCCCAGAAACTCCTCAGAATGTGTATGTACTGGAAATGCAAGCATGAGATACTGTATATTCATATAGTTTAAACAAAACACAGTATATTGCAGCTGCAGAGGACGGGACAAACTAGATGATGATAATAAAGTTTGTGTACATTTGTGTTGTACTAGAAACGGCTTGTGTGATAGGATAGCACTATATAATGATGTTGTGTATGATACATTTTGATCCATATTTGCTTTGTTCTTTTGTCTCTGTGCAGTCGATGCTGATGAGATTAAGAGGCTAGGGAAGAGGTTTAAGAAACTCGACCTAGATAACTCGGGCTCTCTCAGCGTGGAGGAGTTCATGTCGCTGCCTGAGCTGCAACAGAACCCACTGGTGCAAAGGGTTATCGACATCTTCGACACGGACGGGAATGGAGAGGTGGACTTTAAAGGTGGGCACTGAGGAAGGAGCAGGGCATGATGGGTTACAACTGTAAATCTGATTAATGTGGGGTATGCCACATTAATTATATGTATTTTATCCAGTGTAACAGGAAACCTAATACATACTGTATGCATGGAGCTTGTATTCCACACAGTCAGGCTCCAGTCAGTTTAAATGGTCTTTATATTGGTATACTCATAAAGCCCTTTTCACTGAGAACCAAATTAGATTAAATTGATATTAGGTTGAAGTTTTTTTCCACAGTGTAAATTCTTTCCTTTCATTTTCAGAATTCATTGAAGGAGTTTCCCAGTTCAGCGTTAAAGGGGACAAGGAACAGAAGCTCCGATGTAAGTATAACCGTTACATTGCAGCTACTCATTAATACAACAGCACAGTGACTAAGTGGGTGGCTAATGCTGGTGGGTTTCCTTCATCGCCCAAAACATGCACCACAAGTAAAATCCTCCGCTGTCTCCACCTCTGCTCCTGCCCGAGTGCCACTTGAAAGATGGGTCAAGCTGAGCACAATCTGCACCTTAAAGGAATAGTCTGGAACTCTAAATTAATTACAAATGATAAGAATTGTATTAAATTGACCTCCTGGCCTTAAATGTTGATATAAAATAAGTCACTTTATAAACTCTAATAGTACGGGTTAGTCCCGCCTTCCCTTCTCTTAGCTATAGCTCAAAATCCATGATGTCGTCCACTTTAACCAATAAAGTGATGCCAAGGGCTGTCAATCATAGCGCTGATGCTCGTAGCTGCGCGCATGCTCAGTTGTTTGTTTTCACGGAGCCCCCGCATCAAGCCTCTATTAGGGTCTGGAACTACATGAAAACTGAATAAAGAATTCTGAACATCCGCGCTGAGTTACCCACTTATATACTGAACCTATATCCATAATCATTTATATACTGAACTTATATCCATAATCATTTATATACTGAACTTATATCCATAATCATTTATATACTGAACCTATATCCATAATCATTTATATACTGAACTTATATCCATAATCATTTATATACTGAACTTATATCCATAATCATTTATATACTGAACTTATATCCATAATCATTTATATACTGAACTTATATCCATAATCATTTATATACTGAACTTATATCCATAATCATTTATATACTGAACCTATATCCATAATCATTTATATACTGAACTTATATCCATAATCATTTATATACTGAACTTATATCCATAATCATTTATATACTGAACTTATATCCATAATCATTTATATACTGAACCTATATCCATAATCATTTATATACTGAACTTATATCCATAATCCTTTATATACTGAACCTATATCCATAATCATTTATATACTGAACTTATATCCATAATCATTTATATACTGAACTTATATCCATAATCATTTATATACTGAACTTATATCCATAATCAGATCCTCTGCAGATGTGTCCTATAATGTGCAATTAATGTCAATAGCTACTTCCGGGTTTACCGCGATCGCTTTTTTTGTGCATTAAAACATTGTTTTTGTCATGAAAACGTTAACAGATTATTCTGAAAACCTGTGAATGTGTATTAATAATGTATATGCATAATGTGTTCTCTGATTAACATTTAAATGTGTTGATTGTTACGAAAACTTAGGTGTAGACCAATCAGAAAGGAAGGGGGAGGGAACGTGGGTCGTTTTTTTTTCTTCAAATCATGTACCTCTTTTTTTCTGACAAACTCCAGACAATGACTTATCACAGAAGTGGCAGCACTTGTTGTAACAGTAATTTATTCACTGAATATGTGCCTAAATAAAGTATCGAGCATCGAAATATAGCATCTAAATATCAGAAATGGTCATTAGATAATTATCCAAATGTGCTTTGCTCAGTCGCTTTCAGGATCTATGACATGGACAAAGACGGTTACATCTCCAACGGGGAGCTCTTCCAAGTGCTCAAGATGATGGTGGGAAACAACCTGAAAGACACACAGCTCCAGCAGATCGTGGACAAGACCATAATTAACGCAGACAAGGACGGAGATGGCAGGATATCCTTCGAAGAGTTCTGTGCTGTAAGTTCACTGGCATTCCTGTGCACTTCTCATTGTCTGCTATGGGTGAATACCATCCCATTTGTGTTAAAATCGTGCTGAAAAAGGGAGTTTTTCATATGTGAAATGGGTAAGGGAGAGAAGCGGGCTATTGGATTCTAAAGCAGGATAAATCCTCAAACTGCACCTGTAATAAATGATGGCTGTCAGAGTACTGCAGTGCTCACTGCAGCACTGGGGGAATACTCTGGGGAAATAATATCTGCACCTTTTAATCATCTTCACAATTGCAAAGCTTCTGTAAAATATCCCATGGAGCTCCATAAAAACAGTGAAACTAGTTTATCTCTCCCAACTATCAGTTTATGCCTGCAGGAGCTGAGGATTAATGGGATTTTGGACTCTGTTGCTCGATATTATGCTTTGTGAAAGTTTCTTTGCAGTGATGTGTTTAGAGAACTAAGATCTGCGCAAGAGAAAGCTGCACTTTATCATTCATTTAAATACATACATTGGAACTTGTAAAGGAGAATACGTGATTTTAGAACGTATATAAATGTAAGGTTTGTTGAATTGTTATTAAAATTACAAACTGCCCAAGCCCTACAATAAATGTAGACAAGAGATTCTTTTGATGAATAGCTACAACATAAAAATCAATTCATGTGAAAATAAAACTATCCATCCATCTATTTTCTTCCCCTTAATTCATTTCTGGGTCGGACAGGAATTCACAGAAATTAAGAGCACCAGCCCCTCACTGATCCTCCTGCAGGTGTTGAGTCCACAGGAGGACGGCTGCTCTGTCATTGAGAGTATAGCCTCGATCTTTCAGTGGGAGCTTCAGGAAAAGTTGGGTTAAGTGTCTTGCCCAAGGACACAACAACAGCAGACATCAGTGGAGAAGGTCTTGTAGTGGGCTCAGACTAGAAAATAAAACCAGTGATGTGAAAAAGACGTAGTGCTCCATTACTGTTGACAATTCTTTTGTTTGTTCAGCCCCTTGATTACTTGACGTGGCTTGTGTCTGCACTTATGGCTTGAAACACCTGGAGTGTTTCAGGTTTAATTTACAGATCCATTGTCTCCTAAAATAACACATGTCCCTAAATCTAAGACACAGCAGTTAATTGTAAGACAAGGCCCACTTCTGAAGGCTCACTCTCCTGAGTCCTGAACTAAAAAGAGGCTGGTTCTTCTGGGACAGTTATTTCAGGATGGCACAGGTGACTATAGCAACACCGATCAGGCTGTTCAAAGTAAAGTGACAGATCCAACTGAAGTCACTCACAGATCATAGGATGAGGAGGAACAATGTGGTTTGTTTTAATGTGTATTTTACTATTACAGGAGATTCAGATTCATTTATTTGCCATTTGCAGTAAAACCACATAGGAAAAACTGTGCAAGACTGCCCCGGTGTAGGAGGACTACCATTTTGAATATGAACAAGACATCTATTGATATTGAATCCTCTTTCATGTATGCTTTGTGTTTAGGTGGTGGGAGGTCTCGATATACACAAAAAGATGGTGGTGGATGTGTGAGCGCCCTCGTTCGCTGCGTCCCTTCCTCCTTGACACTCGCTTTCTCCACCATCTCTGAAGATCAGCTCAAGACGTCCGGCAAAACGCTCTGTATAACTTAATGGAAGTATTCTCTCATTTTCTTTTCTGTGAAGCCACTTTTTTCTTTCAGAAAACCGCAGGCCTCGTTTAGCCAACTTAGAAGTGTTATTGGACTGTGTAATCTTCTAAATAACCCGGTCGTAGCACTTTTAAAGACTGAAGGACATCTATGTCTGCCGCAGGAGCATCTATGACTTTGGATGAGGGAGGAGAAAGTGGGGACATGGGTTCAGTGAAGAGGCTGGTTGGCTTGTTCATATTTCATCCTTTCTTTTTTGTTAATTGTTATTTTTGATATTTATTTTTGTTGTCTTTTATAAAGAATTGAAGATAAGTATATCTGTGGTTGTCTTGTGAGGGGGAGTGTATAGTAAATCAACACTTGACTTACAGTACAACTAGAAAGTAGGGTATGAAGTGCCAACCAAAACATATCCAGAACCAGTCCAAGTAATAAACCTGTTTTTGCCGCTGACACTTCCAACCGTCACTGCACACAAATTTAAATTTAACATTTTCTTCTGTTTTACATGTCTGGATTGGAGCAGCATTGCATCCAGTCACACTTGGCAAAGCATCACATTAGGTTTCTTTTTGTAATGAGTTTTAATAGTTTTATTTATACTTAAAAAAACATGTTTATATTGTTGGAGAATTTCCTTGTTTGTCATTATGGATTTTTAGATAGATATGCCAAGAAAATGTCTTTCCAAAATAATCTGTGGTTGCAAATTGATTTTATGGTTTACTTTATATTTCAAAGAATTTTGCATTTGTGCATCCACAAGACAATCTTTAGTAATTGTTCTGCATTCTTGTTATCCATCTCTAGGCTTTAAAGCTAAATACAGGTGCTGGATGACATGGACTTGGCTAGGAACCTATAAAATGTGTGAATATAAACTTGTTTGTGTTTATAGCAAATTAAGAGACTTCTCTGCAGGCAGCATTTTTTTAACCAGTTATGCGTTTGCTTTACATGAGCCTTCAATTTCATACATCTCTCAGTCCAAAGCAGGAGGGTACAGTTTTCTTGCGCAGAAAGACCTAAAACTAAATGTTGGCATGATCAGTGTGCAGTGGGATACTTCTTTATTATTTTAATATTGTGTACATTTCATAAGTTGGCTTCTTCTCCCTTTTTTACTGTCTAATTTCTCCCCCCTCTCCCCAAAGACAAACAAATGGGGAGTAAAAATGTTAATTTAAACAAATTATGATTTTGAAGGGAAGCTGCCTGCTACTCTAAAAGGACTGAGACTATTCGAACCCTTTGTTTTTGGAGGACATTTTCGGTCCAAGACGAGTCTGGAGTGCCCTGTTGACCCTTATCCCAAAGCTCTGCACGGCTTGGGCCTCCCTGTGCTTGCATGACATGGAAATATATTTTTTGTTGTGCATGTAGATCAATTTTTGAAATAATCCTCTTGTTTACACATGAATGGTGATGTTAATATATTTAAATTTTAAATGGTATACAATATGGATGTTGCCAAACTTTGGTAAATGTACACATGAGAGGTAATCCAAATGAAATGAACTACATATAACTTTTTGTATTTTAACCAGGTCAGCAAGATGCTTCTATTCCAGTAAAGTTGCATATCTGATCCTGTCTCAAACTGCCACACACTGTACTCAGCTTAAAGGGGAAATTTGATGTTTTTTTTTCTTTTGTATATAAGTATTTGTTAACTGCAGTTCTGGCTCTCTGTATAGTTCAGACCGCGCTTTAGTTTGTAATTGCATTTTTTTCTGAGGGACTTGGGTCTTTAGTTTGTGTGGGAATGACAAATTTTCAGTTTGAGAACCTTTTTTCCTTTTTGTGCATGCTGCATCTTATGCTGTGGGACTGTTGGAAACTTGATACTGTATGAAAATAAAAAATTAAATAAACTTTAAAAAGTTGAAAGTTCATAACCTTAATTTATTTACATGTTACTTGATGCTGTGACGGTAAATGCAAAATGATGTTTTTATGTAGCAGGTTAAACCACACATTAGGTTTATGAATAGTCCTGGAAAGTGTTGCCAAAATTCTAAAATGTTCTTCATAATCCACGAGTGAGCCACAGATGGTGAAAGACTGATGTTCAGAATCGCTCTGCTGTCCTGCTGGCCACCACTCTGATATTGCCATAGACCTTTGAAGGTGGACTTCCTGCAGGGGACAAAGTGTTAAGGTCATTTCACATCAGTTTGATACACTCTAGCAGTACAATTGCTCAATCTTACCCAATATCAAATTACAAATGGCTGTTCTTGCCATCTTGATGTTTTGGAAAGACCCCAATATGTGAACTTTTCTGTGTAAGGGAAAATATAACATTGGTTTCTTACATTAACTCAGAATCTCATAGCCAGAAAACCTATACTCACGTGTCAGCTAATACAATACGTGTCTTTGTCACATTTTCAATTGTAAATTTAGTTTTTCCACCTTTCCCTGCTATTCTCCCAATTGCTCGTGATAAGTGGTCTCCCTTTAGAGGTTTCACTGTGAAAAACATTGTGAAAGGTTTCACAATTATGCATTTTGTCAGCTGTATAACCAGTTTGCAGGCCTTTCACTAGCATACTACATTAAAATACTTTCCAATATACAGAGCCATCATTAATTAACCATTACCATCTGTGACGTCAAAACTCTCTAGGAAAAGTTCATCCAATCTGATGAGAGCCAAGGCATCCTACAGAGAAATAAAAACTGTCATAATCACCTGCCAATCAGAGCAAATACTGATATAATGTCAAGATAAATATGAAAATGTACTCACTTCTACCTGAAATCCGAGAACAAATGCTTTTACAAAATCAGATGCTTTAGTCAGAGCACTAATGTCCTGTGTATCTTTGCACGTCTGGAAAAAAAAAAACAAGTACACCAGGAATGTCAATGGACATACAGATACACGAATAATCACAAAAGTTCTTCGTTAACTTACTTTGATTTCGACGTGTCTAGTTTTCAAGTTGAATCTGACTTGGAGATGTAGATTCTCAACAATAGGGGTGAATATTTTTAACCAGCTCTCTTTCAAGGGGGTATATCTGTGAGCTGGCACTGCAATTTTACGCATCTCATCTGGTCCCTGGAATGAGTAACACAAAACACTGTGGGACGAATAAAGAATCTCTTAATCTTAAAAATTAGAAAAACGAATAGAACAGCAATTTAAAACAATATAGAAATTGTATACAGCAGGAAGATTAGACAACTGAATAGTTTAATAACAAACACAATGTGATGCATCAGTTGTAATAACGTCAAGAATCCATTAGTCTTACAGTATAAATACTGATCATTGAACATGAACTACGAAAAGTAAGGCATATATCCCACTTAATTTTAGGTCAATAAGCCATTAGTTTAGAATAAGTCCATAGAGTGCGCGGCAGTAAAAATGATTACTATACTATTATGATAGCACAGTAACATGAAGTCCCTTACTCTGAGTTGATCGCCAGAGAGTGGTGGAAACTGTGGTCTCTTGCACGCCACGGAGTCAGCTGTGTCCATATCTACTCCATCTTGTTCTCGTTTCCTTTTTTGGGTCTTTTTAGACTTTACTTTGGTGAATGTCTCGGAATCCCCTTGATTATCCACGGCCACGACATTCTCGACTGTTGTGGTTTTTTCCAGATCCATTGTTAACTCCGATTTAAGAATACAGTCACAAATTACTCAGATAAACTACATGCGAGGAGCACAAGGATCCTCGTGCAAGTGAAAGGACCCTTACAGTGACTTCAGCAGAGCCTGTTTACTGCAAATTGTAAGTAGATATGAAGACACTACGACGATTTAACACATTCATAATATTATATTGGTATTTAAAAACAATTTGTCATCATGTAGGAATCCGCATTTGCTACATGGATCTTTGATTTGCTATAACACATTTACAGGCATATACCGGGCAGCTATCCTTCAGCAGCTCGTTTTGGATCTGCATCCAAATTCAGAAAAACTATCGTCTTCCTTATCCTTTCGTCTCATTGTTATTGACTTTTGTGGCATCAAATGTAATCCTAGTGGGATACAAAACGTTCTTAAATTTGTAAAATTTCACTTGACGTAATCTGGAGCTGCCACGTCTTATAACAGTATTTATAAAGAACAAAGAAGGAAGTGTTTTTCTGAATTTGGAAGTAACCCGGCAGTTGGACGTCATGTGTTTGGTTGTACGCATTTGGACGTGAAATGCAATGCTGCTCGATTCTTAACACTTGTGCGTCTTTTCTAAATATTTAACTAAACTAAAATATGTCAACCCCGCTGGCAAAACCACAAATAATTGCACATATTCAGAAAAGCTTGAACTACACTGTATTCGACTCAAAGTGGATCCCGTGCAGCGCCAAGTTTGTCTGTTTAGGTAACTTTGCAAGAGGAACTGGAGTCATTCAAATATATGAAGTACAACATGGGGAGGCTCAACTTGTGAAGGAGGTAAAATGTCGGATTTCTGTCTGTTTCGTAGCTGTGCAAAAGTTAATATCGCATCGTTGTCGAAAGGGGATCTGATCCGGTTTGGGCTCGTTTCCGTAGCAACAGGAAACAAAAACCACCCCGCAAATCATCTGCTCTGTAATCAAAATTCAGGACTATATGTTTTACTGTTGCATGTGTTTCGTATCGTTGTTGAACATCTCATAGATCGAGAGACCTAAGCCGATAAAATGTGGTACATATGGGGCCACTTCACTTCAGCAAAGACACTTGGCAACGGGAGATTTTGATGGAAATCTTAACATTTGGTAGGCCATCTCAAATAAGAAATGTTTCATTCTGTGCTTTGCTATCCATAACATTTCTGCCTGTATTCCTGCTCTTATCAGGGATCTGGAGACCCCTGAAATGCCAGTTTACTCAGCCAAAGCCCACAAAGAGATAATTAACTGCATTGATGGAGTTGGGGGCTTAGGGATCGGGGATGGAGCCCCAGAGATTGTCACTGGCAGTAGAGATGGTAGGAGATATGAGAGACTTCTTAATGAACAGTTAGTAGTAGGACATTACTATTTGGCATTTTGATTTTTTTTTTCTTTTGACAGGCACAGTTAAGGTATGGGATCCCAGACAAAGAGGTTCACCTGTTGCCAACATGGAGCCTATGGACGGAGAGACCAAGCGGGACTGCTGGACAGTTGCATTTGGTATGGCACATTTGTTTTGAGATAAAAGGAAAGTGTTTTTAATATGACGTTTTGTGTCACTTTATATCCAGGCCATGCTTTTAATGACCAAGACCGCTGTGTTTGTGCTGGCTATGATAATGGCGATATCAAACTTTTTGACCTGAGAAACATGTCTCTGCGATGGGAAACAAACATTAAAAATGGGGTAGGTGGGTTGTGTGCTTAAGTTTGCCAATTTTGTTATTTTCCCAGTGTAGCTTTCTTATTTTATCTTAAATATTTATTTGTTGGCATACTCCCGCTTGTTCCCTATTTAACATTTATTTCTACCATGTATAAAGGTTTGCTGTGTAGAATTCGACAGAAAAGACATAAACATGAACAAGTTGGTGGCTACCTCACTGGAAGGAAAATTTCATGTTTTTGACATGAGAACACAGCATTCTACCAAGGGCTTTGCCTCAGTTTCGGAAAAGGTAATAATGGGCATGTTCCAGACAGATGATGGCAAAATGTGAAATCATTTAAAGACGTTCTATATTCTATTTTCTATGATAAATGGTTTGTCTGGAAGGTTTGCCAAATGGCATAAAACAAAGATCCCACGAAGGAGACAACTAAAATAACAAGTCAACGGTTTTAATATAGTGCTTTTCTGGACACTCAAGACACCTCTCAAGGCATTATTCATAATCTCTTTACACAGTGGTGTTAAAACTACTACTGTAGCCACAGCTGGGGTAGAATGACCCACTGAGAATGCACCTCGTGTAAAAACAAACTGTAAATGAATAAATAACTTGCGTTACATTTAATGCATGAATCAGAAATAATCTAAAAGCCTACTGTTAGTTTTGTTGAGTAAATAAACCAAATAATGTATTCATGTTTTCATGTTTTCAGAATAATAAATCAACCATATGGCAAGTGAAACATTTGCCTCAGAATCGGGATATCTTTATGACAGCTGGAGGAGCAGGAAACTTGCATCTTTGGAAGTAGTAAGTAATGTTTATTTTATTTAGAAACATTTATATTGTCTTAGTTAGTTGTTGTTTGTGTTACGTAGTCATGTATTTCATTTGCCTCTACAGCGAGTATCCGGCACATAGAAGCAAAAAGGACTCTGACGGTGTAGATGTTGGTGTTGCTGGAACAGTGAATCTGTTACAAAACGTCACTCTGTCCACTCAGCCCATCGCCAGCCTCGACTGGAGCCCTGATAAGCAGGGTCTCTGTGTGTGCTCTGGCTTTGACCAGTGTGTCCGTGTTCTCATTGTAACAAAACTTAACTCTGTGTAAGAAGACTTTAACAATAACACATATTACACACATTTATTGTTTTGAATCAAATTCACGTCAAACATTTTGACTTAAGACATTAATACAGAAAAACCTTCCTTCATTTCAGACTTTAAATGTCTTTGGGTACAGCATTTACTATGATTTTTTGTTTTTTTTAAATAAATATTGATGAATATCAAACTAATGGGTAGAAGTCTTGTTTTTGTACTGGTAAATAAATAATAAAAAATAATATCATAACCAGCATTTAAACCTAAAAAAGTCTTGTAGTTCAGCGTCATCTTCTGGTCTGTCATGCATCTTTGCATAGATGCTTCTGAGCAGTTTGGTCATTGATTTTCCATCCAAAATGTCTATGTACTTCTCAATGCAACCTATAGACATAATCGCAGAATAGACAAACAGCATGATTACAAGTTGCATGTGGTTGTGTGGTCACAAAGTCCTTAATGTGTGTTATATGTCCTGCCCTCTGGTCTGCCTAGCTATAGCACTGCTTAAATTTGATCCATTGCTAAAAAAAGCCATGCATGCTATAAGGCCTACAAATGTCCACAAATCTATTTCGATTTATCTGGTTTAATATCATATGTTAAGAATTACTGATGACTTACTTAGTCCCATGACTTTTCCATATGCGACAAGACTTGAGCCAAGCTGTGGATGATCAAACAGCTCAAGCTTCATTAGTATTCGGACAATCTCTCCTGTAATGAATGCGTCATCAAAAGTTTGTTCAGCCACTGGCTTCAGCTGGTAGCTGCAGTAGACTTCCAGTGCTGCCTGTGGGTCTCTGGGTTCCAGCAACTGCACAAGCTCAATGTAGGCATCATGCACCTGAACCAAGTGAGCAGTGGGATGAGTATTCAAAGAGGTATATTGGAAGATGTCCGAACACTGCAGCCACTGACCTCAGGAGACATTGAAATGACTTCACGGTAGAGAGATTCTGCTTGTTCATGCTTTTCTGAGCGGCCTAAGGCCCGGGCAAGGCCAAGGCGTGGGATGTGGGATTTGGGATTTACTGGACTGGACTCAGGGACACCTTTCAGAGTTGGCACTGAAAATAAGTAACAACATTCTTGAACGCACTTTCTAAGAAGTTGTTTGTGTGTACTTATCATTTGGTACCTGTGACTGTGTCAGTGGGTTTGGCTGGGCATTCCTGTTTGGACATGTTGGATGAATTGTGGCGTTTAGTGCTGTTGTCGGAAGACTTTGCAGCTACCCCCGGTCTCCCTCTAGAGGGAAAAATATGTATTACATCAGGAGAATTATTGAGTATGTCTAAACTTTCATCCTTATTGACACATGTCCAGTGTCACTCACCTCGCAGCAGAAGGTTTAGATGTAGCTTTCCTTCCCTTGGTGAGGGTTACAGGGGAAGCCTGTCCTGGGACAAGCCCTTTCCCAGGCTGTGCTCTGCCTCGGCCACGTCCTCTAGTCACAGCTCCTGTGGTCGTAGGTTTCTTCACTGCCTCTGGCTGAGAAGCTACTGACTTAGTCACAGTCTGAACTTCATTCTGCTGTCTGAGCTGCCACCACTTCTGTTCTGTCAAGTAAAAGTTATTTAAGGTATATGATGAAAAAAAACAAATTATGATATGATGAAAAAATTGATTGAAAATATTAAGATATATTTACTGATTAATTCTTCTGGTGCCTTTCCTTTCTGAGGTTTGCCTTCGAGATCAATGCTTGCCTGAAAGCTCAGGCAAGCATCAGCCAAGTTAACTTGTGACCGGTTGCTGTCATATTGAGCCAGCTGAGCCAGACCAAGGAGACACAGAGCATGGCTATCCCGAGGTGTGGTGATCACTGATAACTGACATGCCTGTACACACAATTGGTATGGCTTTTGGATAAATGACATACTTTATTTGAAGTGCTAAATTAGAGCCTTACGTTCTCCTGCATGTCCAGTAACTCTTGACAGGGGGTGATGGAAGTGAGACGGATGAGAGAAATTATTGCCTGGCACCTCTTTGCCACTACAGACTTAATGTCAGCTCCAGTCTTGACCTTGTGAATGAGCCGCTGCAGAAGAACAAAGTGAGCATCCAGCAGCACCCACTCCAGCTGACAGCTCGCCTCACTGCTGCTTACACACTGACTCACACTCTGGGCGGCGAGCGCAGAAACACTGAGGATACAGCACCACACAAAACATCCTTCAAACAGATGAACTGTGATGTTACGTGATGCAGCTATGGATTGCAGCAGACGTTCTGGAGACATACGTACATGTGATAGACCTGCTCAGAGCTCATGGCCTTATTTTGTAGTATATTTTTCTGTTGAAGCTGGCCCATAGTCAGAAGACCACGGAGGAACTGTGTGTTGATGCTGGACAGAGGTTCTGATGGGAACTGTTCCTTCCAGCTGAGAAAAGGAACAAGGTATAAAAAGTGACATTTTAGTGCTTGGGAAATGTCTGAATATGATGCGTCAAAGTAGACATTTGAGTCATAGTCTGTGAAAATTGGGTGTTTTGGATTGGACGTCATACTCAATGGAATTTAAGGGGATCAGATGGAAGGAATCTGTGATTTTTGCGTAGAAGGCATAATAGTTGAAGAAAACGTAAATGTATATTATAAATCCAATTATAGACGCTTGATGATCAATCATGAAATCATTCAAGACATTTTGAGCACTTTATGACTCATCATGCCCTCTTGTTTTTCTACTCCTGCAGTACACTCGCCTGTCTTTGCAGCGCTGGCCGATAAAGTGCTCTAGACCATGTTGTAGGAACAGAGCAGCCTCCTTTTTGGTGTCCTCCGGAGTGTTCTTTTGCTGCTGCAGTAATGCCAAGCCAGTGAAAAACCTGGGACAACCATTATAACATTATCAACCCATTTGTTGTATTTTATGTATGTAATTTAGTAGTCATTGGTCAAGAACCTTAGTCCAGCATGGAGTGGTCTAAGTGCCAGTCCAGTCTGCAGGTGTTGGAGGGCATTGCAATGTTTCCCTTGCAATAACAGTAACCTCCCAACATGTAGGTTATACTCCCAGCTGTCTGGACTCAGAGACCAGGCATCCAAGTACTTCATCAAGGCCTGGTTTAGGTAATTCTCCTCATCCTGCACGGCTGCACTGTTGTCCTGTCACAATCAAGAATATCTTTCAAAAATGAATAATTTCTCATTTTTGGCTAAAATAATGATGCATTTTGATGGGACAGTTAATATGCGCAATTGGGTAATCTAATAAGGTAATTACAACTACAATCCAACTTTTGTTGCCAGAATCCAACGTGCCTGTGACTCAGCTCAGTTCCTAAACTCTGATTACTGATGAAACCCTCCTGCTGGGGTTTAGCTAGAAACGGTTACAAACTGTGTGTAATACATATGACTACTTTTTCATTTATTTATGTGAGGTGCTGCCCTATTTTGGCCACCCAAAATAGGGCATCATACTGGATACATACTGGAAGTGTGAAAGATGTCATTCAAAATTAAAACTGCGCAAATGTGATATAGTGAATACAGCATCAATCAATGATCACATGTGACACCTACAATCTAAATTTGTTTTAATTAAAGTTCAAAGAATTACCTTTCCAGTTTTCTTTGACAACCATAAGTACAATGTTTGGACATAGTCTGCCTTGCTAGACTGGCCCTGGTCTCTCAGTTGCTGGTATTCTTTATCCAAAGCCTGCAGTTGATTTTCTAATGTCGGATTCCCTGGGAAGCCATGGAGTAGGCAAACTGCCAAGATATCATCCTGCCGTGATGTTGACTTGGCATCGCTTTGGTCTTTACTGTCTTTATCAACCTGTAAACATACGATTGGACAAATGTACACAACACCCTTACCACAATGTTTTTAAATCACTTTCACATTGATGTTGTATGTGGTTTTGTTAACATAAAGACCTTCTTTTTTAGGCCATACATCTCTGTGGCGTAGTAAGTCGTCTCCAGGACCATCCCAAGTAAGAAATGAAGTCTGGGCTCTTTCGGGCTGTGTCTTATTGCTGATGCAAAGTGAATGGCTGCCTGTTCAAGGTTATACAGTGGAGATGTGTCTTCCTGGTACTTCATCAAGTCACCTGGACACATTTAACTAAATCAATCAGAGAGTTAAAAAAGCAGAGCAGCTTGCGCCTCTGTTCCAAGCGGTGACGTGGCCTCTTGTTTATCCCAACATAGATGGACATAGTCTTTTTTTCATTTTTGTTTTTGTTTTTTCATGGCACATAAAGTTTAAGCAGAGCTTGATCAACAATTCAACACTCTTTCACCATTATTGATTCTAATCTCCTTATAAATGCTCTATAATAGGAGATTGTGAACTGGCACTAGACCTTGCCTGTCTGTTGTGGCCTTTTAAATTTGTTGTTACTTCAGTTAAGTTCAGTGACTTTCATCCAATCCTCTAGGTCAGTGTCAGATTTCTCATCTTTGAACAATTAGCAGAGTTAAAGTGGTGGGGAAACACTGATGAGTAACATAAGCCTTTGTCAAGTGACGTCACATTGTCATCTATTTTTTAGTGAAATCCAGAGGTAGATTAAGGCAAAAAGTACAATGTGATTCATGGACAAAACATCCTATCCCTAACCCATAACCCATTCATTGATTTACCTGGTTTTGGGATGTTTTCATTATAAGTTTTCAGGTGATCTTCTGCAAAGTTACAAAGATTTTCCACATTGTTTTCAGCAGCAGCAGCGAGGTGGAGTTTCTTCTCCCAGTGACGAACCTGGAGAAAATATGAAAAATGAAAGGGAAAGCCAATAATCGAACTGTAACATAGATACTCTATTATTACCTCGACATTATGAATAGTTTCAATTGGCAAGCTCCTGGTGGCTTCAAAGTGCTCCTTGTACCATTTTGTGTCGGTAACATCCTAAAAAACATACATTTTAATTTACTGCATGCACATTTCTCCTGCTATGGATTATTAGATTAAAGTACATGTAATTTTCTTCACTTTATTCTTCTGCCTAAAATATTTTGTTCTAGAATAATTTGTTACAATAAATATCAGCCCTTGCATTTAACATCTGAAATATATTTTTGATCTTACCCGAAACAGAATGCAACGCTGTAAATAAAAGATAAGGGAAGTCGATTCCAATGTAATGATTCACACACGAGCGACCGCATATATACTGGTGTCGATGCACACAGGTCTGGCGTGTCCCGGTCCACAAACTAAATAATTATTTTCTTTCACCTTATGCCTCTGACCTTGAGGTACTTTCAATAACATGGACTGGATCTTTGTCACTGACCTTTGCATCCAGCTCCCCTGTTGGTTTGTAAGGGCAGCTTAGAAGATGTGGTCCAAGCTCTGATAGTTTCACCTCACTCTCACAACCTTAAAGAAAGAGTAAAACTACTTTAACCTAATTGGCAATGAAGACATAACTCTCAAACATAACTCTCTTCATATATAATGCCACTGATCAGTTGTGATTGAAAAATAGAAATCATCAAAGTTTATAAAACAAATACTGTATCTATATGGATGCATTAAATGTGTCAAAAGTCTCTGTCTATCTTTGGACTGCTATTACAGAGGAATATCTAATTATATTCTGTATGTGATTACATACGGTTATGCAAAGCTGTATAATCTAAATATTTTTATATCTAGTATTTTTAGAAGTTTCTTTCTATTGCATATGTTTTAAATCTGTATTAAAAACTATTCCCTCCTAGTTTAATCTATAGCATATTCATCTTGTTTTGAGTGATTATTATTCTGCACTGTACTATGTGTTGCAATACTTGAAATGCTCCCAGTTTGGGACGAATCACGGTTCCGTTATCTTATTTCCCTTGTGGATGAATACTATCCATCTAAGCCTATGTTTCCTATCACATTGTTACTTAATAGCCCAGATTGTGGTCAGCTGAGAGAGTTAGGTCACAAATAATGTGAAATTGAGCCTGAGCCTATTTTCTGGTGCTCAGTAAGGGATCCCGATTGCAGGTAAAAGATCATTCACCTCGATACGTAAATAAACACTTGACAGAGGCAGCAGACATCTTGTGGTCAAGGTTCATTTCAGTAACCTTCCAAGTGTCCGGTAATCGGCTGTTGTTCAGTGGGTCAACTTTAGATCTACGAGCCAGCATCTCTATATAAGGCTTTGAGAAGGTGTGCTTAGGGTCACTGCAGAGAAAGAAGACAGACATAGTTTCAATAAAATAATTCAAATAAATGTCAATGTTTTATTATTTCTATGAGGAACCCTGAAATATGGCCTTCACCTGTTGCTGATGGAAAGAGGTCTATAGAAAGCATTCAGAGAAACAGGACATTCATACTCAAATTGATTCTGGGTGTTGCAGAAAGTAACAGGCAGCGGAATCAACTCTCTCGTGACCAAAATTGTATACACCTGTATAAAAAAAAAAAACAGAAAAACCCACCCCCCACAATCATTAGGAATTTAACTGTGAAACACAATATCTATAAGTGAATAGTAACCTGTGAATGGCTGCCATCTGCTGAATTAACTAAAATGTCCACCAAAGTGTCTCCATAGTTAAGTAAAACAGTCTGAGAGTTGTCGCCTCCATTCACTTTGACTTGAATGTGTTGGTCTAGTACTTTGTGCAGAAGTTTTAACGAATTAATGTGACATGGAACAGTACCTGGAAAATTGTACAGTTTTAAAAATATAATTGATTTAATAACCCATTGAATTAAAACACACAGGATACTTACTGTTGTATTCAAAGGTTCTGGGAGTAAAGTTAGGATATAGTGGAAATTCTCCTTCTAAGGCAAGCTCACTTAGTTCTGCAATCTTGGCAGAGAGCTTGGTGATTTCCACACAATAGTTTTTGATAGTGCCATCTTCTGCAACCACTTCAATTTCTACTTTGTTCAAGCCATCACTGAGTTTGATTACACGAGATCCATCTCCAAAACGCTGGAATGTACATTTCAGACACAAATCTTGCTATTCACTCATTGTGTAGCTAGTTGGTTAGTAAAGATACTCACGATTTTGTACGAAGCTCCGCAATCGCTCGTGGCCACGTCGAGATTGACTTTGCTGACGCTACTTTCCACTGAAACGTGGTAGTTGCTAATGTTTGGTGAGAAGTCTGGCTGCAGCTTCCCCACAGACACACACAGCTTTTCCAAATCACAGTTGTCCATTTTAAAGCAATAACAAGATGCTGCTGCGCTTTTTTTCAAATAAACCTGTCAATATGCAACCAAACTTAATCTGTCTGGCATGGCAATCAGGCATCCCCAACGCGCCACCCGTCGTTACCATGACAACATCCAAGCCCAACCGCTGTGTTTGGAAATAAATAAATAAATAAATGATAGAAGTAGACGTAATAGGTATAACTAACCAGCATAACTAACCTAACATTGTTCACTTTAAAATTGCTATTTGTTTTTTCCTTTATCTTTTATTTATATATTAATTGGATCAAATATAAAATATCAAAATATAACGTTGAAGCATTACATGTAATATATTTAAACATCAGAGAACAAAGGAGAGAAAAATCTTATGGGAGAAATAATTGTGCTGTAATATAAATGAGTTGACCACGTGTTTTTGACTTTTTCATTTTTGTTATTTTTTATCAAGGGCTGTTGTTATTCTTCCAGACGGCAGGTGGCTCCAGTGTAGCAGAGTTTTGTCTGAGCATATGTGGAAGAGTTCCGGTGAGCAGGAACAACGTGCTGGTTTGGTTAATGAAGTAGTACATCCATGTTAAAAACATGATTCTTTACGGTTATTTTTAACAACACATCTTTTGGATAGCCTCTTCAACTGCTTATGTTATTAATCAACCCCAGTGTTTTGAGAACCGTGTTTTAGGACACGTTGGCTGTACTATCAGGTAAGATGATTATTGTTTATCTTTGGCTTAGTTATTTTTAACGTTTAACTACCAATATTTAATCATGGGTCGTGTGGTTTCGTCGTGTTCGTTGTTAGAAGATGGACGCCAGCAGTGAAGACTATCCCCATGAGATTGATGATCAATTGACGGGTTTTGATGCAGCTTCTTCAAGTGTTCAAAGTGTGGTGGACACTTTAATTTCAATGCCAAGAAATGATCTTCTGCAAAAGGTAATGTGAAGTGCATCTACTAACAAAGCGCGCATATGAAATACATAATTAATTCCGAACACAGTACCCTCTCTTCGTCTTGTGTTATTGGGAAACATATCAAGTATCTTTTGCACACTTGCAAACTGAGGGTGGTCCTCTCCTCTTCACTTTTCACATACAAACGGGATCTTAAGATGTGACTAAGAGGCCAAAATTGAATGCATTTGAAAACCACTAGTGATGGAACCAAACTGCTGTTTTGAGAGCGAGCAATACGTTAGATTTCATTACATATTCACTTTTTAGTCATTTAAAAATCGGGTTGACCAGCTTTAATAATGAATCTGTTCTACTTGTTCTCCAAACATGTCATTTTTTTGCAATACTTGACACATTTTCTTTTGTAAACTAACACAAAATACCAAGTCAATTGAAACTTTCAGTTTTCACTTGTTTCCTCCTTTCAGCTGGATCCACTGGATCAGGCGAAACTTGATCTTATGTCAGTCTACAGTTTGAACTCTTTATTTTGGAGTAAGTTGAAACAATTTTATATATATATATATATATATATATATATATTTATTATTATTATTATTATTATTATTCCCATAATCATGAATGGTTTTTGACCTATGCTTGTTTGATTATTGACAGTGTACTTGGTCACTCAAGGCATCAATCCAAGAGAGCATGGCATCAAACAGGAGCTGGTCTGTGCTTATTCTTGTCTTTAGAATTGTGTAAAATAGGCTTTATGTGTTACTAAAATGATTTTATTTGTAGGAGAGAATAAGGACCTATATGAACAAAGTTAAAGAAATTACAGATAAGAAGAAAGCGGCTCGTTTAAACAAAGGTGCAGCGTCTCGCTTTCTCAGGAATGCCCTGTATGATCCAGAGGAGAAGAAGGCGGCAAAGAAAGCAGCATCTAAGGCTGCGGACACATCCTCAGAAACGCCACAAACAAAGAAGTCAAAGCAAATCTGAGGACGGGATGATGCTTCTGGACATTTTCTAAACATATCTGAGCCTTGCTTTGTTTCAAAGTGTATTGAAAGAGCAAGAAAAGGGCTCCATTTCCAGTCATTTTTATATTTTTGTTATTTACCTTATTTATCGTTGCCCCTAGTACTTGGATAATGACAAAATACTGTTTTACATTTTGATGCAAGCTAGTTCATGTTAAATAATAAATTGTTAATGTAGCCTCTGAGAATGGATGTATTTTATTTTTTCATAATTCACGTTAATTCATGCGTTTACTTTTCTTGAAGTACAAAAAAGAGTCTTTGAAAGTTAATGTCACTTTTGGTATAGAATCCCCTACTATACTTCCTCGTAGCTATTGCAGAGAGACTGCTTCTCTGATCGTAATCTTAATGCACCACAAGTCCCCACATCCCTTTAATCAAGAGCAGGAAACACTGAGGCATTGAGTTAGTTGGAGCAATGTCTCTTTCATTCTTTTCATCATCTCTCCTTTTCTTATACTCCCTGCAGCAACTGCGTCCAAAAATTACATTTGTTTAGCCAAACTGCTCCTTCCTTAACTTTTTCCTTTGGGTTCTTGATCCTGTCTGTTCAAAGATGTGTGTCAAACCTAAGCCTGATGAACAGCCCTGGCTGCATATTGGAAAAATAGGAATACTCCAGTTTTTCCCACTTCCCACTGGTATGTTTGCCTCTGCTTGCCCTTTTCACCATATGTGCTTGGTATGAAGCTTTTTTGGACACCGCCACAAAAGCAAATTTGAACAAACAAACTCAAAAGCTGAAGTGGGGCGTGCTAACAAGTTTGAAAGGTTGGTTTGTCTTGTGGCTGTTTATTTATTTAGTTTTCTTCAGCGCAATGAGCCAGTGTAGAGGAAGTTTATATTTCATGAAGTGAAATGTATCAGACCAAATGACCTCATCAGGCCAAATGAAGCAAGGATGTCCTCATTTCTGCCAGAGAACTGAAGGCCATTCACACGGAGCCCAATGCAATCATTTATAAATGTAAGCAGTAATACAGCTGGACTTTAAACTAAAAAACATTGGGAAAATTCCTCATTTGTTTTGTATCATTCTTTTCTCTATGACTCTTTATTAGGCCGTGTTTACAAAATAAAATACTTTGCAAAAATTACAATTGTCTTTTTGTGTCCCCTTTTTGGTAAACACAACTTCCTCAGTATTTTGAGTCATTGTTCATTTGTCCTCTTTAGTAAAGCATTCACCTCTCAGTTAACGACAGACTTTTTTTGTTAAATGCGTCCTTTACAGTCAATTCATCTCAACTTTATAGAGAACTTTAAAAACAAATCAGTTGACAAGTTCTGAACAAAAGTATTAAAAAAACAATACATTATAAAAACATACAAAAATAAGAATAGCACAGAAAGTCAACCCTTCGAGTTAAAAGTAAAAAGATGAGTCTTTAAGAAGTGACTTAAAAGCAGGAAGTGAGTCAGTCTAATGTGCAGAGGCAGTCCATTCCACAGTCTGGGAGCCGCCGCTGCACTGTCCTTTATTGTGTCATTATTGTGATGGTTATTGTGTACCAGCATGATTCAGGTGTAGAACATTTTCAGAATCATATTTCAGATGTTGCTGTTTTTTCTTGTTGACCTTTGTTCTGATCTTTTTCTCTGCCCATTTGTTACATGGACACCACATTTAGACAGGACTACTCAAACACAAAGATTGGTACTTGCTAATGCCCAAAAGAATAAGAGGATTAAACGTCAGCTCATCAAAGAAGTGACAGCTGAAGCATTTGTGGGGATGACCCGGCTGCACTGTGCTGTGAGTACAGAGTAAACAGATTGGCATGTGCACATAGGCTGACTGGGAGTGGACTGGAGGTGTGTAATGGATTGGATCCCCCTCATAACTCGTGGGATGGCGTTGTCTTCAGGGTTCTTAAGGAAACGAATGAAACTGCAGCTGTTTGGACATAAATTTTCCTAGGAATGCCTCAAGTTGAGCCTTCGGCATAAAAAAAAAGCATGACTGTAGATCCCTCTCCAGATGACAAATGATCACCCAGAGAACCTATCTGCGTGCGTGTGTGTTCCATATGTTTGTAAGTTTGTGATCATCATTCAATAATTCTCACAGTAGTAGGCTTATAAATGTGTTATGCTCGATTTGGAGTATAATTCGTACTTCACATGGATTTCACCGGAATATGACAATATGATGACCCAAGGGATGGACATTGTTTTTATCATTTATCACACATACCCTGGCATCAGTTGGTAAAGTACAAAAGAGGGCAGCAGGTGGAGAGGCCTTGTAAAAAAAGGTCAGAATCCCACTTTCCCCTCACACAGTAGCTAATGTTGGAATCATGTTATAATACATGGTTTTAACGAGAATGTTGAGATTAAATGAGTCTATTTCGGTCTCACAACCAAGTGTTTTCATTTTTGGCATGTTTCTAGATAATCTGAAATATGAATAAAAGATATTTATACAGGCTTTTTCTTCACTAGTCTATAGCATTATCAAGTTAATACATTATTTATTTTTCACGTCGAGGCTGTAGTGATTAAGTAGCAATCATGTAAACAATATTGAACTTTGAGTTTGTACTTTAATTTGGCAAACAACTCAACATTTTCTGATGTACCCTCTGCTCACCACCCAACACTCAGTTTCATGTAGGCTGTAAAATGAAGGTTTTATGGCACATCAATAAGGCCTCATCCCCGAGTTTTACAGGCGGCAGGGGCGGCCCGCTGCAGCCTGTGATTTGGGCTGTACAGTTATAGTAAAGTGACGAAGAGCCTCTGCTTTTACAATGATGTGAATGATGTAAAATGGGAAAGGAACGTGAGAGGTCTATGTATTATACTGTATATTGCAGGGATACTGAATTTGTACAATGCATCATTTGATTGTTGCAGGGCCAGAGAGTATCACAATGATTGTGAATTATTATTTTTCAAACCTAAGATTCAGATTCAGATAAGTACAAAAAACAGGATACAAATAAACGTGAACAAATAAAAATACACACAATAACACAGCATAATATATAATAACATGAATTTTTTGCATGCACTGAATGACTAGATTAAAGCACCTAACTTTCAAACCACCAACATGGTACTATACAATATAATCAATCTTACCAGATCCTCGCCCTCAAAACAGTTTTGTTCTGTCTGTTCTCTCACTAGCTTTCAGATGCATGTATTTTTGGCTTTTTCAGACATAAAAGTGAAAAAGAACAAACTATAAAAGAAAACATGTTATGGGTCACCATTTTTATAAGACTGCATATTGTGATTTGATTTGTTCACAAATCTGACCAACTATTTGTTTGGACAACAGATAGATAAATACTAGCATATACATATATTTACATATATTTTATGGAATACGTTTTTTGGATTATTTACAAGTTCATGTACAGGCATTTTTCGATTTATTTGCCGTAGACTATAAATATTATTGTATAGTATTTCCCCATGATGACTCGTGCCCAGAGCAGTACCACAGTTACAGCAGGCCGCCACTAGGGGGCACTCCAACACAGCAGTCCGCTGTGGTTTGAGTGGCAGCAGCGGCACGAGGAGCACTGCTTTCCCGCCACCGCAGAGGCAGATCGGGGAAGATTAGCCCGCGCATGGCCGGTAATCACCCTCCTTATCTCACAAACACTACAACAGCCCCCACACTTTAATGACAGCTGTAATTGTAGTAGAAGTCAAACGTTAGGCTGCGGTGGCATGATAAATGACACACAAAATATGGGCCGTGTCCAAACTTTCGCTCCATGCTTTTTCTACTCATTCTTCACAGAGCCAAGCACATGTCCTGTTTACATCCATGTGAAGTGTTGGACCTACGTCGTATATGGAAGGTACAATTGAGCTAAAATTGTTGTTAATTATTGAAGGATACACCCACCCCCATTTAGGTGAAATGACGGGAAAATGTCCAAATGTAGGCCAGTCATACTTGTTTGATTGTTGTTGTTACTGGATAGGCCGCGTAGTTGTTTTAGTTAGTTATACAGTAGGCCTACTTTCCTCAACATATTTTTTCACTGTTTGTAAGTGTCTTCAAGTACAATTTTATTATAGCAATAGGGCATTTTATGAAGACTTGATGACAGTGGCAGGCTTGAAGACAATATCCCCATTCATAAGGCATGATCAGACATCGGTTCATAAATCAGCATAAAATACTCCATCATTCCTTATCCAAATGTAAATGACAGTTAATGTTACACTTAATTGTAAGTTGTATTAACTGCTTGTATCAACAAATGTAGAAAGCTGTAGGCACAATGGACTCAATACATGCTTGGATTAGCATGGCTTTGTAAAATATTGGTATGTGCATGCGTGCTACTTGATCATAAATTATAGAGAAATGAAATAATACAATGCATCAAATTAGTCTTTTCTATCTTAGAACTTCATGAATGTACAACCACAGAATCAACACATCTATGGGCCTGCCGCCATAACTTTAGCTGATGCTTCTCAAAATAATTCAAACATTAATCACATCAAAGTGTATGCCAATGTCAACTGTGTGTGTGAGTGTGTATGTGTGTGTGTGTGTGCCTCTGTTTAATGAATGTGGTGGATATTACATTAAGCCTCATAGTTCAACAGCTGCAGACTAGACCATCATTCAGATGTCACTTTATCACTTCAGGCCTAAAAAAAGTCAAGCCAGAGAGAGTCCTGATCTGATAAAGAGAGGTGGTAAGAGGATATACTGATGACTTCTGCAAACAACTATGAAAAAGCATATCTTGTGTCAGAAATGGCAAGACTTGGCTCAGGAGTGTGATCTACGCAGTATAAAATATGTGAGTGTTAAGCTTTCATGTAGAATGGTGTAAAAATGATAAATGGTAGTAGGCCAGAGAGTTTCTTCATCTATCTTTGTCTACGAAGCAACACATGTACTAGTTTTTCTAGTTATTTCTAAACATAAATGACTTTTCACCCCAGGATCTCCTATGGTGTTCTATGGAT